GAACACCCCAATTCGATTACCTTGATGCAACTTCTCGTGTGTGCTATTTCTTCCTCGGTAAAAATAATTTTCCCATGCACTGTCAGGCTTCAAGCTTAAACTTTGTTACTGTAGTAACTTGAACTATTTCCATCGGTAGCTTATTTCAATCACTCGCACTCCAACTGCTAAAGGTGACTCGATGCCTAGTCTGGGTCCCTGATTGGTCGGCCTTGGAGCGTATCCACTGAGGGATTCATTGCGACTCATCCATAGAACAGGTTCCACGGTACCTTCTGGTTGCATGAAGCCCTTCATCATCCTGAAAGCTTTGATTAAGTCTCCCCTCTTTTTCCGTTGTTGAGGAAGAACAGTCCATGTTCTTTCAAACTTTGGTCTTATTCCAGTCTACTACGGTGACAAGACCACCTGGTTGAGCAACGCTTTACCTTTTCGAGGAGCCTGCTGCCCTTCACGATGTTACAATTGGACACAGTATTTCAGGTGGAGTCTTACAGCCGTTTTGCACGGAGGTAAGAGGGCGCTTGGCTTTTTCGAACATACCGCGCTTCTCGGTTGTTGTGGTGCTCACGTGGCCTTCTGGACGGCGTGACGACATGGCTGGCTAGGCTTTACGTTTGACCTCATTATCAATCTCAGATCTACAGTCACGGCTATCCTTTTCGGTACCTTCTGTCCCCCGGGGCGCTCATATTGCGAATGGGCCTTGGTTTTTCTCTCCACAATGAGATGCTGGCATATTGCCATATTGAGAGATAGGTAGCAGGTCGTCGACCACTTCATCTAAATCTCGTTGCATTTTATCGTCCATTACTGTCCCGAGTTACTTGATGTCATCCACAAACCTGAACCCTGATTTTTTATTCCGTTCGCTTGATCACTGAATAAAAATCCAAATAACAAAGGCTATAGCAAGGAACCCTGGGGCACTCCACTCATCACTTTTCGTTTCGGTGACAGAACGTTTCCCAAAATGGTCTGTAACTGTCAACCCTTCAGACATTCCATCATTTACCCTTCTGATATTACTGCGAGCCTCAATGATTTCCGTTTTTGAGCGAGTAGCCTGCGATCCGCTGAATCGAAGGCATTTCAAAGTCACTTCAAAACTTCAAGACACACTTTCGCTCTTTCTTCCCTGTACAACCATTGTATTATCTCGACCATGAATAGCACGAGGTTCGAGAGACAGGGTATCCGCCGTATGATTGGAGGCTGGTATGTTTCCAACAAATATAAGCTTTCCCAGCGCATCACAATATTATGTATTATAGTGCGCTGCATTATATTTATGCAGTGTTGGAAGCTGCGAACATTCGGGAACAACATAAAAAATTAAAAATGCTCAATTGACTGGAAGCCTTTGCATTCAAATGTGATTTTGAAAATCGTTCCAAGCCCCCCCCCCATGCTTCCCTCAAACATAGACCAGTTTGTGCCCCGCTTGTTCATTGAGGTATTTTTGCACACAAAGTCACCCACACATAGTTCTTTATCTGTTGACTCGATGCCGGAGATATTTCAGTTTGTCGTGGGGAGATATCCTGAATGATTTGTTAGCTCACGGTGGACATCGTATTTGGTTCTCGATCGCTCGATTGATTTTGGCTGCAAATTTTAGGACTTTTTGTATGTTAAATATATTATATATGCTATATTATAATTTAAATCAATCCATTGCCGATCAAAGCCCCGAAACCCAAATGAATGTGCTCTCAGAAGCAAGCTGTTACGCAGCTGACAGAGAAACATGTATTTGAGAACTGTATAAACTCGCTGTACCCCTCTTTCCCATTCGTTTCTATCCACGAGTCTCCATCTCCTCCCGTTTTTAGTCTCACAGACCATCGATTCGTGTTTTCCTCCCATTAATTCAACACGTCAAATCCTCTCGATACAAGGTTCGCTCTTCCTTTAATTTCTGTTTGACATGCTCACCCAGTGCATCCCTCCATCCTCCAAATCTACTTATGTCACCTTGTCCGCTTTGTGTTTCATTTTCACTGCGTTTTGATTCTGGTCCCCTGCCATCTCGCTTTTACAATAACCTCATATAAAGTTATTGCAATTAAGTGTTTGCTAGATGTACTAATTCTTATGTTAGTGCTAGGTGGTGTAACGTCGTTTCTTCTGTAACAGGATCGCACCTGAATATAATGGCGAATCACACAAGTCGCTGCAATTTAAATCGTGAGTGCTCTGGTAGCCTTAGAAGCGAGACTATTTGAAATGTTGCCAGCACTTTGATGCAACTAACACCAACCAGAAAATTATAAAGGGCTACAGTCCAAAAAAATGTACTAAAATAAATATTTGATCTCATTGTATTATCATTTTTGTTCTATAGGATAATGGAAATTTTTCTATCTTTTGAATAAGGGAATTAAATGGGCGGTATTGAATGCGAGGCAACACCATAGAGGAAACTTTATAAAAAGGAGTTTATCTTTTGTAACGATGGCCATGTAGATAAACTGTAACACTTGGCCACCGCGCCTGTAATAATTTATCGTGAATGCTTGTACTCAATGGGTCTATTTAACTTATATCGTTTTGTTTGCTTTGCTTTGTAGGCTCAGTTTTTAGTTCAAGTTTTTACAACCATAAACCATGCACTTTGATAATTGTATTTTGGATAAAAAACGGAATGAACATTGGAATGCTGAGAAGAAATTCAAGCGGATAATAAAGAATGCAAGAATAACGTTAGAATGCATGTGCGCCACTGTGTGTGACACCCAGCTAAACCATTTAGTGATCTCGGGGTCCCCAAACAACGAACTTAACGGGACGTGTATGTCCCATTATCCTGATTAAGATTTTCATACCCTCATGCCAGGTTTTAGTTTGACCGCCATTGTCTTCTCCATCCGTTACCCACCTTCGCAAACATCGCGCACTGTGGTAGCCTATTTTGTGAAATGCTCCGCATTTGTCCCCTCCATCGTAATCTATGCAGCTCGACCATTTGTAAGTTTGCTTTTAATCCCCACCCGCGGAATGTGTCTGCCAGTGTTTCCTCGCTACCCGGTGTCTCGTCTTTCCATCGCCGTTTCCCACTGTTTTTCGTGGCTCGCAAAGCCTCGTATCGTCTCCGCCTACGAGAGAACAANAAGCCGATGGGAATCCTGTCGCGCATCTCTTACCACTCTGCTGCTCTGCGAGATCCCAGAGTATGTTTGCACGACAGGACCAAGAAATAACGAATGATCTATTCTTATCCACTTATGTGTACAAAGAAGTTCATGCTTGGAGTATAGGCTTTTCAGCGAAATTTTTCTTTTACTTTTTCATTCATTGACCGTTAGAACTTCCTGTAGCGACAATAACTGAACAGCACTAATGAGTGTACTTGAGTGCATGGAATAATCCAATGGAACTGAAATAAAATTTCGGAAGAATTTGTAAATATCAACCGAATTGTTCACTGTATGACAAGCATAACTAATCACAACTTTTATTGGAAACATTTTCGGAGAAACTGAACCCAGCCTCTTGAAATCAGAGGACAACGGTCAGCGATTCACTGCGAACTATGTAAGGTGAAACATACCACCAGTTCTGCATTGAATCTCGTACCTGGCGACAGAACCAATTGTAGATGACGGGAGTAGTGCCAGTACGGTATACCAGTTCCTTCCTTTGAAATCCCGTTGCATCTGAGGTGGTCATTCATAATGACGAGCAGCATGCGAATCTCATGCGAACATCATTGCTGATTGAATACCCCATGTTCCCACACACGCCACTGGGGCATACAACGATGAACGGCATCTACTGCCTCAAATAGAGCATCGGCTGAGCGTCCTTCAACGATTAATAGCCAGCCACGGATTCCTTCCTCACCTCTTAAGTGATCGTTGAGTCTCATCCGTAGACGAGTTCCTTTGGGAAGAATTTTGGGGTAGTCAAAAAGTTGGAGAGGTAAATCTACGATGTTCTCACTGGAAAAATCTGATATTTCACCAATAAAGTAGGAAAATATGAAGGGGAATTCACACATGGTGTTTGGCAATGATTGAAAATATCTGTCAACTCTTTCAATCGGGACTTTACCGAAAATTTCTGGGTGGAGCTTGGATTCACGAGCGGTAAGATCAAAGCCTTGGGAAGCACAGTGATTGCACCCCTGGCCCGAGAAAAATGTTACCGGTTCAAATTTTCCTTTCGAGTACGGATCCTCCTCCTTGCTGAATTCATTATGAGCTTCACTGGTCCCAACTAGCGAGGAATTAAGATTCACATCTGTTGAACGGTACTCATCGCTCTTGAGGGAATCTCGTAAATATTCCACAGCTGCAGAGAAGGAAATCAAGCTTTTTGATTTCCTGTGTGAGCTGCCTGTTGTGTTCTCCCCACTGCGATTAGAGAAACTTCTCCTTATTTTACAGCAAAGGGTAGGAGTTTCTGATTCACTATTGATATTGGAGGCGCAGACAGTTCCGAGTAATTGTCTCTCTATATCTCCCAATTTTCCGGCATCTCCTTTGGAATGAGGATCACAAGAGGACGTTTGTTTCCAGTGAGGACAACTAGTATCAACTTCTTGAGTTGGGAATGAGCAATTTCGTTTTTTCTTCCCAGGTAAACCTTTGGTCGATAGTTTAGAGAAGTAGGTGAAGTGCCGTTTGAAAAAGAACATGTTGCCGATGAAAATCCATTTGATGATGATAACCTCTATTTCGGTGGGAATAATTTTTCTCAGGAAACAAACGAACCCTGTTCCTGATTGTCTCACACCGACGTCGCGTGACGTTCAAACTTGATGTTGTACTGGCACCTGGCCGAAGTATTATTGATTATTCAAATAAAAAATCGATGTCGTCTGCGGGATAGAGATTGTTCCGAAATAATGTTGAGAATGTTCGATTAAAAGACACCGATGAAAAAATTATATTGAATAATAAAGAGCAGCCTCGAAGATTCCAGTGATATTGTTTTACTACGTCACAGCGACCTTGGGTTGATTGCAACTTTGGTTGGCGTTCTTAATTAAAAGGATGTTGACTACGGAAAGCCACAGTCCGGATTACGATGTGTCAAACATAGATATGGCTGAGATAGGTGATTTCAAGCATCTGGTATGTAAAGGTATATTTATTTTCAGCGCCTTCTTGCAGGTAAAGTCTGCTTCTGCAGCCGCTGCTGCTCTGCCTTTGGCAGACCTTCCCAAAGCATTCCAACTATCCTTCGGTCTCATTGAAAAAGTCAGTGATCTGATGCTATCTGCGTTCATCCCAAATAAAAAGGAAAGTAGCTTATGTCCACAAGCGTTGCATCAACCAACTTCAACCAAGCATACAAACTCCATCAAGAATGATCAGGTTGACAATACAATATTATTCGATGAGTTGGAAACAAATCGAGATTTCCTGAAAACCTCTGTGAGTTTCTGCAATTCTGCTCGTCATACTTTCCAGGGTGTTACGATTTCCTGTCTAAAATATATATTTCAGATTGTTTAAACAATCTGTCAAAATTTAAACAGTCAAATAATTCATCTTTTATCACGCTAACTCCACGAAAATGTTCACCGCTGTGCTACCTCGACACACAAAAGAGATCTACGGTATAACTGCTATGGTGTGTTGTTCTAAGTGTAGGAGTCGCCTAGGCGACTCACACCTGTGAGTAACTTTTATGTCTCGCTGTCTCCTACCGGGCACAGTCCCAAATTCCTAAATTGTTGTTATAATAAACTAAAATGAACGCTTATTCTTAAGATGTCCACATTATTTGGTATAGTTGCTATATCATCATAGTTCAACATGGTATCGGGAATTTTCTTAAAATTTTGCACAACGCAATACTGCACTTATGCGGCCAAAATTTTTGAAGATTTCGGGGCAGGTTTTGCCATACTACAGCCACCACGATTGACGTAATTAAACACTGGAATTAAAAGTATGAAACTGATTGAGATCAGTTCACTTCATCACATTGATTTAGAATCTTGATCAGCTGGTATGATGTAGACTGCGGAGACTGACAGTCGTATTGTGTGAGACGAAAACCTCCGGTGACAATCACCGGACTAAGATTTTTTGGACAGTACAGATTAGACAGCTTTTGTGGTGTAGCGTTATTTGGTCTAAAATTATTATAGGCGGAAAAATTATGCATAAAATACATCAGGTTTGCAATATATATACATATAACATCGGCTTGTAGACAAGCATGATGCCAATGCCACAACAATAACAACAATAAGAATTATTGGAGGCAAGTGGATTGGGATACAGAACAAAGTGGAAATATGAAGAAACAGGCAAACACGAGAAAATGGTAGATAGTTGGGATAATATTTTTGTGTTTCACCGTACACAATGAGAAACGTACCACGAAGAATTGCTAGAATTATATTGTTTTCCAAATGGAATAGATATTGTGAATTATTACAGGCTTTGTCTTCGAAAGTCATGCTATCATAACTTTCATTACTAATCATTTTTTCTGTTTCAAATATTTAAGTGGATATGTTAAAATCACCACATTAGATATTATAGTTAATGGACAGAATATGGAGAGGACTTAGGCACATAACGAGGCAAAATGTAGATTAAATAATTGTACTGAATTAAGACAAAAGCAGTAATTATGTATTTTGTTTATTTCACCTTGGAATTTTTTATGATTTGTGTGTTAATCTATAGTATGGTAGCATACCAGAGCAGAATGTAGAGAAATCATTGCAGAAATTGTCTAAATTGTGGAAAGTCCTTTATTGAATGAATGCCAAAATCATCACAAGCTACACTGTGAATTGATGAAAACCAAAAATACTTTTCGGCTTTTGGATTTTTGACTACTCAGAATGGTGAATTTAGTTCAATAGTTATGCAGAAAAGATTTCTGCTAAATAAACCGGTTTAATCGTAGAAAAGCTTCCTTATTGTTGGAGATTTTCAGATATAGACCAATCATGGTAGCCAAATTAAAGCAAATGAATGATAAAGGAAAAATTATGAAAATAATAAATAAAAATAATCATCAGTACCATGCTTTTCTATTTCTCTTTTCAACATTTATTTAAGAACGCTTTTATTCAATGAGGTTATTCTTCAAAAATACAAATTGCTGCAAAATCTAAAATTTGAGTTCTCAGCGGGAATAGGATTACAATGAGACCGAATACTATTCTTGCACAGGACAGAGATTTAAGATAATAGATCAAGAAATAGATCTGGAAACAATAGCTCAGACTTAGGAACCATAGGTTGCAGATTCTATGACAGCTTATACTGGACCTTTTAGAAGAAATTAATAATAAGCGCGAGTCATATGTACTTTATTATGGAATAGACTATATTTACCTGCCAAACATTAATGGAGACATTTTACCCAGTTTCTGTGTCACAGTCTATATTTTTATGAGTATGCGCAGAGTAAGCAGTATTAGTCCACTAATATTCTAAATTTTCTCTTTGACCTTACTTCCAACCTTTCCTGTCTCTCTCCTGTTCTTTATCCAAATGGGCAGCCAAAAGACAGCAACCAAAACCGGCGCATAATAGTGCATGACCAATGGTTGTGCAAACTACAACTGCAACTGAAGCATTAGAGTTTTTGCGGTTTATTTGTAATTGCCGCATGGCATAAAAGACTAACGGTAATTTGCTGTCTAACAAGCCCTAGAGGTGTAATAAATGGGAATGGTTGTGGAAAACAAGAATGAACTGATTAGAATGAAATGATTAGATGGAAATGATTTAATTATTCAATACTTAGATAACTCCAGATAAGAGCAAAGGTTAGTAGCTTTAAAATTTATTACTACTGCCGTTTAGCATATATATTCTACTAACTCAAAGCAACTGAGTACAGATTACTTTGAAATACAATGCTTGATAAACGTGACTACATTAGTGCATAAATTTTCTGTATACGTTTTGCAAAAAGTATTAATTATACTTGATATCAACTTAAGGTTTCTTCATCTGGAGTACTAGTGATGAACAAAGATTTGTATGGTAAAATGCTGTTGATTACAACAAACGTATGTCAACATAATTATATGTATGCATATATATATCACTGGCCTGCGGACAAGCGTGATGCCAACGCCACAACGATAAAAATAGAAAAAGGGGGTGGGTAGACTGGAATACAGGACGAGGTGTGAAACGGGCTAAACAGTTAAAATGAAAAACAGGAAATAACAGGAATAAAAACATCTATTTATGTGTTTCACCGTTCACTTTTTGAAATTTTTGTGAGTTAATTTATCTTTATTTTACGGGTACGGGATTTCATTAGTTATTTCTTTTTTCTCTACCCTTCCGCTATTGTTATTGTTAATATTGTTTTGGCGTTGGCATTATGCTTGCTCTTAAGTACGTTATATATACATACATACATATATATGTATATATATACCGTACATTATTTGTGTCACTGCCTTCTATTCGGAGCCATATCTATTAGCTTTTCTAATCAATGACAGTCCTCATCCCTTGGGCCCTAACGTGGATGGTGGGCCTCATTTACCAACTTTTTTACTTAGTGATAGATTTACATACTGTTTTCCGTTTTTCTGATAATATTCCAAACCACATAAAATTATTAGAGAATATACATATAGCAATAGCCAGGAAATATTTCAAGAAGATTGGTTTAGAATATACAATTAGGATTCTTAGCAATCAGGTATTTCCCAGATACAAACCTTGATTACTGGTAATTTTATAGCATCATTCATGCATTTATCATTTTGCGAAGACAGTAGTTGTTCTTCATAAAAACAAATTGTCCAAAATATTTCTTAAGGTAAAGTTTGAAGATGATTCCACTGTTTTGCAATTTATGAGATAAATGCCTAAAGTGAAATACATATAACTGTTAGGAACAAATGTATACATTACGTATGTTTTGGTTATAATATGCTAAATATGGAAAGACTGGGGTGGTTCAAAACATATTTGAATATTTCAAATAACAAGCATGAGGAATCAAACATATTCAAAATGACTAAATAACACTTCTTAGAATGAGGAGTTCTTTTCAAAAACTGTTTATGGCAATGGCCTAAGATGGTCAACGTTTGCACGAAACTGGTTCAAATAGATTCATTCATTGTTCATTGTACCACATCAAATTGTGTTAATTATCTTAAAAATATAGTAGAGCTTCACGGGGTAATTTTCAACACTATTTACAGAGAAAGACAAGTAAAACAGTATCATTAAAGTGCATGGAACTTAGCTTTTAGTTCCCAATAAATGGTCAGAGAGTACATAAAATAACGATCATTGTTACATTCAGTAAATATTGTTTTGTTACTAATCTTTTTTTATGCAAATGTTTTGGTTAACTTTGGAAAACGTAATTTACGTAAAAATGCAGTTAAAACGACTTTATAATTTTTAATTTGAAATTTCTGGAAATCGTAAGAAAAGGCATTCAATGCAAACTGAATGAGTGTAAACAAATAAAACAACCAGTATTATTAAGCCTTGAAAAAATGGAAGGAATAATGTTGAAAGCAGAACAAATTCTAAACTTAAGGAGTTAATAAACATTCAAATGGCAAAAGGTTAAATGTAAATAAGACGAACAATTTCTCATGTATTTTAAAAAGCATTGATTTGTAATAAATGAAACAAGAGTTGAGAAAAACCAATTATAAACCTTACAAAAGCTAGTGAGAACTTAAAATTAAAATGATTATGTTGTATTATCTACACGTTTTGCAAGTGCTCAAGCTAAGATTTCAGGTACAAAGCTATACACGCCAACCATCACACGGAACAAATTCAGTAGTAATGACATTGCTTATTCATAAGTACTAAGTTGGATAAATTTTGCATAGTGCTTTATTAGCCACTCGCTTGAACGACACAGAAAAGGAGAGAATAAAAATGTTGGGATCAGTTGCAAACAGTAATCAGGATCGACGTACAAACGTAACAGTTTACGCCAAAGCCATATCACCCCGTATCCTTAACCGTTGACAACGCTGATCTAGTGCTATCAAACCGAGAGGCCTAACGTAACCGGCATGCTCAATTCCCATGGTAAAGTTTTTCAGATCTTTATATCTCACCTTGGTGTGACCACCTTTTACCTTTTTCCAACCACTGCCTACCTAAACAAAAGTCTTACGCCTAGGTGACGTATCTGAAAACCTAAATAACACAGACCTCGGTCAATGGAATCTGAGGAGATCAACCACTTGCTGTAGTAGACTACCGTGATTACCTCAAACTCCTGCTCACCCCAGCATTGTTTGTTTGGTTGTTATCATGGAGGCGCTCGATACGGTTTAGGCAATGACTTTCGAAATATTCGTGTTTGCACTATGACATCTGCAGAATACACTCAACCCTTCACAAGCGAGAAGATATCATGACGGCGCTGTGGGTGTTTCTGGTTAATATGAAGCCATTGGAGCCTAATTCAAGGGATTCAATGCCTGATTGATTATTTGTTCACCAGGTTAGACAAAGCTGACCAGGCAGCAAGATATTTTAATCTTCTCAGCTTGCATAAATTAATCCCATAACAACGTTTTACAGTTTGAAGATGCAAAACGCATGCCAAAATAGTACTAACAATCAAGTCATAAAGAAAAGTCTGCAACATACTTGCTTTGTGCTACTTAACTCAAAGTCATCTGCATTCTATAGATCAGAGAATTCGCCACCTGGAAACACTAATGCCATTTATGCAAACGACAAGAATAACTCGAAAATTGTACCAGTTACGACCTTTAGGGAAAAGAGAGGGCAGTGATGGCGACTACCGATTGCCATGATGCACTCAACTATAGAAGGGTTGTATGATCAAATTGGGCTTTCGCTAGTTGTACAAAGGATTAACGTTTGTGAGGTAAACTACTTTGGTGAACCCTTCAAAGGGAAATGATTGGTTGATTCCAAATACCATTTATATCAAGAAAGATTAAAACTCAGGGTCAAAGGAGGAAATGTCCATTAACCACCATAGTTAAGAGCGTATTTCGTGCTCTTTTAGCTATTCGGTATCTTCAAGGATTACGTTTCACTCTTTTTTCATTTAAAAGATTGAGCTTGAACACCTATTTTTCACATTTTATACCTTGATCTTTCGTAATCTTTTTGCTTAATCTTAATCATTCCAATGTTTCTCAATCTAGTGATCAACCGAAGTAAGTAACTCCAAAGACGACAGAATTGCAGGTTCAGTAAGCGTACAGGTTAAACTGTACAAGTGGATGGGACACTGGAAAATTTTCATAAAACCTCGATATATTTCCAGTGAAAAATAACAGTAGTCTGATTTGGATTTTATTTCATTCAAAATGTAAATAAGCAGCAATATCCTTCTCATTTTACATATCCTTCCACGAATTTTAAGAGCTTGTAAGCCTTAGAAGAATTAGGTTCTCAACGATGAATAATGCCGAGGCCTAAATCATTCTTAGGTAGTTATTTTCTGCACAATGCAATTATTTGCTTCTATTTGTAGTTCTAGTTTCAGTTTTACAACTAATAATCACAGACTTTCTTGCTTACCTGCTTTTATTTTCAGCTTCGCTCTGTTGTAAGAAACAAGACACCAGAGACACAATCTTCAGAACGAGACATTACCCCTCTAGATGCAGGAGATGAGAAATCAGTTGGCTTAAAGATACAATCTACTGATGGATTGGAAGCGTCAGACAGTGAGGTACATGAGGACTTTGAACATAGGCCTCGTTCGGTTCATTCTTCTGTTTCGTCTTTACTCTCAACTTCTGAACGTCAGCATCATCAAGATACTTACCTCAATGAAGAAATTGGGCGGAAATCTCCCTCCGCTGTAGACGAATCAACTGCAACTAGAGTTGTGAAATGTGGAGGTTCGACCAAATTAGAGGGTGCCGATAACACTGATCGAGTCACAGACACCACCGAATCTTTACAAATCAGTGCAGAAACGACACTCCAAAAATCACACGGATCCTATTCCTCTACATTTATCCACACTCGTACTCCATCTGCTCGTGAATACGGACAAGGATTACGCAGCTCCGCCGACCTACGTCGCTGGCGTCTTACAAGTACCGATAGACTGAACACACTGATTGATGAATGTGAACGCCAGATCAACGGAAGAAAGTTATATGTATGCAAATTCTGTGGTAAGGTGTACGAAATCAAAAGTAGTATGCGGTATCATATGAAAATAATACATTTACAGATGCATCTTCGCACTACTGAAATGCAGTGTCGTATTTGTGGAAAGCAATTCACATGCGTTAGCGCTGTCAATCGACATCAATCAAAATGTGTGTTATCCACGTATCCCGATAACAGCGTACATCGAAATAAAAGTTACTCTTTCAATCTGTCCGGATCAGCTGGGGGACATACGGATACCAAAGGAAACACTTGCTCCAGCACATTCGGAACAACGGAAGTAATGAATATCGGTGGAAAACTCAACCCTGCCTCAACGAACGAGCAAAGTTTACTGGCATCAAGACAAAATAATGCTAGTTCGAGTGTGTTTCATAACTTGGGGCTAACATCTACTCCGATAACAACGGTGTTATCAGAAACAACGTATTCCACAGGATCCAAGGGTATAATTCATCACGATTCTATTGGAATGGTGGAACCACATACGCCAGCAACAGGAAACACAAATTGTTGTTTTTCACCTACATGCCATGCACGACCATTCAACAGCCTAAATTCACTACCATCCGAGCTTAATGTTGATCCTTACTGGACTGCATCTAGCACATCAATTCCATGGCCAACTTTTCCAAATCTGGGCTACAATTTGTCCGAAATGACTCCGGTCCAACTGGAAATGTGTATGAAGGCTGTGGTTCGGGGTCTTCATTCTAATCTTACAGGCAATAATCCGACAAGTCCAATGGCGGTTGCCGAATCACCGACCATTATGTCCAAATCAAACATATCACCGAGCATCAATTCTGCAGAGCTTGCCAGTACATCGGATGCACATCGGTCGTCTTTCTCCTCAACCTATACAAATACATCATCTGAAATTTCTGAAGCGGAGCCAAGCTTTTCAAGCACCAAATCAGATGAGGTTGCCATTGATCTCTCAGCAAGATCTCACCCGGACACAATAATGATTGAGTCTTTTTGATAGGAACAATCATTTCTGCATAAAAAATAATACCACTTGAAATCATAAACAATTTTCTCACACCTGTATAGCAAACACCTCCGATGCATTTATCAAGCCTTGATTATTTGCTCCACACCACAGTTCACAACATGTGTCTGTAGGTCCGGCAGTCATAAACGTGATAAGGCTGTAATATTATTTCACGTTCTCGAATCCGTTTTCCCACTCCCCTTTATTCCGGTCATCGTAAAGCTCGAGCTTTCACTTCTTATGTGCCTTCAGTTATTCGTTGAAAGTGCCTGTATTCAACCTGACCATTTGAATTGTTTATTTCTTTGTTTATGTTGACTTTGCGGGAAATGTTTTTATTTGCATGCATTTGGCACATGCACTAGGGATTAATGTCAGACCGTTCTATTTGCACATAGACCGTCTCATTGTTTCCATCTATTGAAGTTCTGTCTGCCTAAATGAAGCGCCACATTTTGCAGTCCATTACTTTCTCGTACCGGTCTTGTCTATAACTGTTTCCACGTTTTATTGTACACTATCTCTCATCTATTATTAAATTAAACTATTTCATGGATGACTTGCTTAAAGGGAAAATGATTGTTTGAACCTGAAAAGGTCCCTTTGAATAAAATGAAAAGTATACCGAAGTGAGATTTCTAATTGTTTCAGAGTTTATAGGGTTTAGTGATAAAATGTCTGCCATAATGGATTAACTTAAAGAAGCTGACTGCCATCGACTGTATTGCATAAGAAAGCAATTAAAATGGGATGCTATAACATTAAATGAGTGAAGTAAAAAGATAAACTGGTTGAAAACTGCAATTTAGATAGGAACTTCATACAGGATAGATTTACGGGGATTTTGTAGGCTATATTCTTATTCCAAACGAAGATAAGGTTTATCGGTAAATCGATTAAAGACAATTTTCGTCTAACATCTTTTTCCATAAATGTAACAAAATTGATGCAAACTGAAGTGCTTTTTTATTAAACACCCACGTGTGATGAACAGCAGACGGAGCGAACCCCATGGTCAAGAGGACCTGCTGTTCAGTGGTGGAAACCGGCAACCTAAGCACCGGGACTTGGATTGCTGAATCACACAAAGCCCCGCTAGCTCGGGCGTGCTACTGAACCGGACGACAGCAGAGCTGCCCACCACCGAAGTAGGGTGGCGGTGGCGGGGCTCGAACCTCGGATCACAGGGTCCAAAGCATGCCTGTAACAGCGACTAAACCACTGCGCTTGAGAGTATCACACATATGGGTAAATAAATATGAGTGTTATCGGAAATACCATGATACAGATCGGTTTAAGAAATACCGGGATATCTTGCAAAAAGTAGTGCTCAGGCTGAATTCGCTGCCCATAGATGTTATGCTCATCGTGAGACAGCTGTATCCGATGACTATTAATTAAAATGGCCGAAAACCTTTATGCTAGACTCCATTGAATATTACCATATTGACTGCAATAAACTAACCGCCGAAACCAGTACGTGTAACTAGGATTAAACTCAAGTGATTTAATCTTAAATATCCCGGCTGAAGTTACTGTGAGTTTGTGCACGCGCGCTGCTGATTCATTTCTGAAATAATTATTAATTATTCAGGAATGTTAAAACATATGAAATTGCAGTGGTGTGAAGAACTTGAACAGGAGTCTGGTTGCATGTATGGCTTAGCACGTGCTGATGCAGGTTTAGGTGCAGAAATCAAAGCCTATCAGTTATTCCTGGCTGTAAAGCAACTCACGAAATTGGGCGGTCGAACCAAACTAACCGAAACTGATAGTCAGGAACAACATAGGTATGAGGGGTTTACCTTCATTCTATCTAAACTGCTCTCCAGAAATTTCAATATCCTTTGCATACTAAAATGTTCAACAGACGAATTAAGTTCATAAATTCCTTTCACGAAAACCCAATCCTGTCTAAGATGGTTTGCTTTTACACTATTCGGTGTTTTCTACATATTATGATAGGAAGTATCTCTTGCAAAATGTACGAATGATCAACCAAGGAAAGTCCATTAGCTCAGGCTGCAAAAACAGACCATTTCGGGCATAAGTGAGACCACAAGATGACAAACAAATTAAAGACTCATTTTCACCTTTGCCCACAACTGGCCTTGAGCATTGGCGAAACAAAGCCGGTGCACCGGTA